GGTCACGTAGTATGGGTGCGTTCCCTAAGATGGATTATACATAAGCGCAACTGCAACGCCTGTGTGGGATATCCCTTACCGCTATTTTAGAAGCATTTGTGTTTGTACATTGTTTTATAGAAGTATTTTGTTTTATGACGCATTTCGTCGTGTGGCGCACTGAAATCGTCAACGCGATTCGTCGCCGTCAGAGTGGTATCTGTTTAATAATTCACTTGACTATATTAAACACGATTAAGTCAATTTTATTCTATTGCCTAAATGAGTATCATTAGATTTTCTAACGAATTCGATTGTGACGAAAAAAAAACTAAGCGAATGTTTATAATTTTTAAATGTGAATCCACGCACAGCTGGATTTTATTTCATACATACATTAATAAAGCCTCGATTATTGAAATTCAAACATTAATATCCAAATATACAGACAAAACTATTAATTATACATCGATAAAGATAAAAAAAATATTTTGACAAATATCAACGCATATCGTAAAAAAAAAAGGATATTTTTTAATAAAATTTATATTTAAATTAAAAAAATAATATAAACAGTGCTTAAGTATGACAGAGAAGAGCGTCTGTGGCTCAGGGGTCAAGCACTCGACTTGCAATCTGCAGGTCCTGAGTTCGAGTCCCGCCACATACCAATGTGTATTTCGTTTTCCGATTTACATATGTACATTTATCTGACGTTTTTACGGTGAAGGAAAACATCGTGATGCTGCACATATCTCAAAAGAAATTCAAAGATATGTGTGAAGCCAACCAACCCGCACTGGGCCAGCGTGGTTGATTATGGCCTAATCACCCTTAACTTAGGGTAGGTTCCGAGCCCCTCGGTGAGGACGTATATTGATGTCTACGAGAGGTACCTTCCCTTTTTAGCATTTTTTTTTACTGTGAAGGAAACATCGTAATGAAACCTGCAGATATTATTAAAGAAATTTTAAAGATATGTTTGAATTTAGGGGACAAAAAGACTTGCAACCCGTCACGTTCCATCTCCAGAAAAGGCTAAAAGTGGATTGCATTCGTTTGGCCGTACCAAATATAGATCCGCGATCTCTGCCTATCCTTCTTGGTTATAAGCATTGTATGTGTGTGTGTCTGCTCACCTTTTTCCAGTAGTTGTGCGAACATATTCTGCACATTGGTATGGTGGTGTTTCCACCGCAAACAGTACTGCTGGGGCACCATTTTCCACAGCTTCGCCACGCTTGCTTCTAGAACTTTGGTATCATGGGAACTAATATATCTTCTGGGAATACTTGAATAATGGAATGTTCCTGCTTGGTTACCTGTAACAAGAGATACAAAAGTTATTTGTTAATTATTAAAAACAGTAGTAGAGTCCGCTTTAATATCTTCACACGAATTGGTCCGGTCCGGTAGTCCCAAGACCACACAGAAGACAGGCGTCAAGTGGAAGCAATTCCAACTACAGTCTGATGAGAATGCGTCCCGGAGGCCTAATTATAGTCCTCTTCACTTCCCATTCTCTTTCTTATAAGAAAATGATAGGATGTGGAAGTGAATTTTCCCGATAAGAAGATCGATAACCACACTGAGAAAAAAACTTTTAAAAAATACCGGTACAGACTTATCGTTGAATTTTGTGACACGCTGTATCCACTCACAGGGAATATTCTATATCGTTAAAAGCATCATGTTAACGGCTCTATAAAAACCGACTCGCCTTACCGTGAGATTTGTTATAATTAAGAAATCCTCAATGTCCTGGATTTGCATAAATTTGCAGCTAAGATCTGTATTGGAATAAATTAATAAATCATTAAGTAGTTTATATAAAAACATCGTATATATTAACATAAATAGCTAACCATATAGGATAAACAAAGTTTTTTTTATCACAAGGTGGCGAACGAATGACCAGCCACTTGAAATCACTGAAATAACGAAGTGACCTTTGCCCATAGACATACGCAATTGCATATGCGTTGCCTACCTTTAATCAACGGATGAGAGGATGCACAGAAAGAAAATATTTTCCCTTTCCATGCATCCTCTTATTCAAAAAACCCACTTCCACTTTCCATCCTTACATAAGAAAGAGGATGGGAAGGAAAAGAGGTTAAAATTAGGCTTCTGTGATAGCGAGCCCGTGGCTTCGCCACGATGCGTTGGACAGAGGGGTTTAGTGGGTATGCTTTCCATCCGGTAGAGAATCCAACGTCACTACCGCGTCCCCCTCTGAAAATAAAAGCTTCCGGGACAAACTCTCTAATATCCCGAATGTTTATTTAGCGGTCATCCTAGACTTTGTCATCGCAGAAAAAAGTCTATGATATATCCGCAAGCATCATCTACCTTCATCATCATCAGCTCACTATACGTCCCTACTGAGGGGCTCGGAGTCCACCCTAAGTTAAGGGTGATTACATATACCTTCACATCCAGTCTTTTCGATATATCAGAGTTGCCTTGTCTTTTATACCTGGCTATAATGACAAGCAACAATTCTTCGATATTCGTGCATTGAATTGTTTTTAATGTTTTTTTCTCATTTATTTTAGTCCTTTCTGTTTAAATCTGATCTGTTGGTATTTTATGTTTCCGTTACGAATATAGTTTTAAACTTTTTATGTACACCATGTTTATAAAATAAAAAAATCGTTGCCGTCGACTTTGTCAGCGTGGATGTGGAAAAAAAAACATCCCATATCATTCCTGCATACACAGGCTACTTTTTATAAAAAGGCACATTGTAATGATCCAGCTGTTTTGGAGATTACACGTAACAAACACATACATGCGGACAGACATTTTTTTTATATCATAAGGTGTTGCCACCATTAGCGTGCGGCCACCTGAAATCGCTGAAATAGAGTGAAGTGATCGTTGCCCATAGACATAGGCAATTGCATATGCGTTGCCTACCTTTAATCGACGGAGGAGAGGATGCACAGAAAGAAAATATTTCTCTTTCCATGCATCCTCTCATCCGGAAAGTCCACTTCCACTTCCCAACCCTTCCTCATAAGAAAAAGGGTGGGTAGGGAAAGAGGACTAAATGAGGCCTCCGGGACGCACACTCATTAGACGAAACGCGGAATTGCTTCCACTTGACGCCTGTCGTATATATATTCACATACATATAAAAACAGTTATTTCAGTATTACAAACAGACACTCCAATTTTATTTATATGTATAGTTATTGAAATGAATGATGATATCTATATATATAAAAGAAAGTCGTGTTAGTTACACTATTTATAACTCAAGAACGGCTTTACCGATATGCCTGAAAATTGGTGAGGAGGAAGCTTAGAGCCTGGAGACGGACAAAGGATACTATTTATTCATTTTTTTTCGAATTTATCCCTTGAAGAGCTCCTTTTTATTTAACTTACTAATATAAATGCGAATGTTTAGATGTATGTGATGTGGATGGATGGATGGGTGGGCTACACTAATTAAGTTTTTATATACCCACGCGGGCGACAGCTAGTGTTTTATACAGAGATTTTATACTCAGCAATCAAAAAGTACTGTTTAAAAAACTCAATAGGCCTACAGAATATTAAAATATTTTTTTCTTATATATCCTTCATGGTTAAGGTCTTATCTTAATGTTGTCACGTGCGGATTAAATTATTTTTCGTCAGAAAAAAAAATATTAAAAAGTCACAAATGTAATACGATCAAGGTAACGTAACATTTATAAAACTGCGTATTTCTTTTATCGAATTGATAAATAGAATATAACAAATTATATACATTCTTGTCTCGTAATAATAATAATAATATGCCTTTGTGGATGCTGAGGTACCGTATTACCAGTACCAACCTTCACCCGTTCTGGAAAATAGCGATATCACGCTCTACTGGGATCGATCTATTATTACGGATAGGACTATTGCTGCCAATAGGCCCGATATAGTAATAATAGACCGGTCTGAGAGTTGTGTAATGTTAGTCGATGTCACTATTCCACATGACGAGAATCTCGTGAAAGCTGAAAAGGAAAAAGTGTTAAAATACCTAGATTTGGCTCACGAGGTTACCGCCATGTGGCGTATGAAATCGACTACCATTATTCCGATAGTCGTATCGGTAAATGGACTGATAGCGAAGAGCTTCGACCAACATCTCAAGAAGCTCTCGGTACACAGTTGGATTAAGGGCCCGATACAAAAGGCAGTTATCCTAGAAGCCGCGCGCATCGTGAGAAGGTTCCTGTCTCTGCAGCCCTGACCACTGGTTGTTTGAGTCATGGGATTCCGCAGCCGGTGGTGTTCTCTTTTTAATATAATATGTTTTGTACATTTTTATTTTTTTTGGATATGAAATGTATTATATTAGAAATATGATAAATAAATGTATATCGAATAATAATAATAAAGCCTTTATTGCTAAAGATTATTTAGTTTTACAAATTTTCATACATTTTTTTTAGTTACATTAACAGTAAGTAATATATATATATATATATATATATATATATATATCTCAAAAAATAGTTTTGAACCGGCGACTGCTATCCTTAATCTACAGCTTGTCCTAGTACAAAGGCCTCTTCTAAAGATTTCCATTTCTGTCTATCCCTGGCTTCTCTAATCTTGTCTAGTCATCATCAACAAATGAATGACTGATGATACTCATTCATTATATACCATATACCAAATATGGTCGTTTTATGACATTTTGGACGAAATTAGAGATTTCTAAAGATATAAAAAAATCGAACGAACATGAATATTGAAATTATATGTAATTTATTATGATAAAGGTGCGCCAAATTAGGTGGCAAAATATCATGCTATAAATATCATCAGCTCACTATACGTCTCCACTGAGGGGCTCGGAGCCTACCCTAAGTCAGGTGACTAGGTAATAGTCAACCACGCTGGCCAAGTGCGGGTTGACTTCACACTTATCTTTGAATTTCTACGCAGATATGTGCAGCATCACGATGTTTTCCTTTCCCGTAAGATGATCGGATATATACATTATATGAAATGAAAAAACACATGGCGGGATTCGAACCCAGGAAATGCAGATTACAAGTCAAGTTAACCCCTTAACCACCGATACTCTGAAACAATTGGTCGTGTTCCACTGACCGACTTTTCGCATAACCAAATAATCCATCCTAAATTCATTAACCTTTATAGTCATTTAAATTAGACATTTCATATTATACCTTAATTCTTAGTTTCTATGCGACATATGTCCAAATTTCGTCGTATTCAATGCGATAGTGCGGCCCTCTGACCGCGGTATCTACAAACTGATAGATAACGATACGAAACATTCCCCGCCAGTCTGCGCATGCGCACAACTGTTACTAAGCGCTTTTCTTTTGTACATATTAGAATCCGAGAATCCTTAAATTAAGTAACACTTAGGCTCTTCGTACGCATGGCAACATAAATCTTCTACACGCAGCGATTTAAGTAGCTAAGACTTAATACAAAGACATAGGTTCGTACGTACGTCGCTGACATTATTTGTCATCGCTAAAGACAGTTCGCAACCTATTCGTCAAGATGGTCGTTAAGTCGCTGCAATATTGAAAATGGCGGAGCAAATCTATACTATGCTTGTACTGTTTGAACAGACTCGCATCTACAATTCAACGGCGCACAGGAATACAATGTTCATTTAAGTTCTTATGTATAATAATTAATTTGGTCATCAAGTCCCCACTGAAGGTCTCGGGGTCTACCCTAAGTTAGATGACTAGGTTATAGTCAATGCTGACCCAGTGCGGGTTGACTTCACTCTTATCGACGAGTAGAGTGAGCGACGGGCCGCGTCCGCGAAATAATACTAGTACCACTCATCCTGTAAACTAGTCAGTGCCGCAACCGGACGAATATACGTGAGTGTGAGTCTCACGGAAGTTTGAATAATTGAATTAACACTTATCTTTGAAATTTCTGCACCGATATGTGCATCACGATGTTTTCCTTTACCATAAGAATGTCGGATAAATGTACATATGTATTGAAAAACATTGGTATAGCGTGATTCGAACACAGGACATGCAGATTACAAGTCAAGTGCATAACCACTGAGGCATAGACGTAATCAACTCTGTGGCAGTTATTCTAACAATCCGATGATTTTTGTAACTGAGTAACTTTCCAAAAAGATAACCTTATCAGCTCGTTCGGTCACTGTCTGGCTCGCACACCGCACGCTATCCCTCTCTCGCACTAAGGACACATGTAAATATTTTTATCGTTGTTTGGTTTGCGCTCAAACGGTCTCCGTATTTAGATAGTAGGTTGAAATGTTTTTAAAGGAGCAGAGACAATTTACTTTTTTTTT